ACTCAACTCAACTACCTTAAAAATTTTTTAAACTCTCAATAAAGTATTAAATCTAATATTTAATTTTTTTATAGAAAAAATAGCAATAAAATGTCACATTAAAGTAATTAAATATGAATGTGAGATGACTAATGGGTTAAAGCCTTAGTGTTGGTAACCATGGCTTTCCCTTCGGGTGTAAGGAGCATCAACTCACTACAAGCTAGTTGCTATTAAATTGATCGGCAAATTAAATTACTTATTAATGCTCCTAGAGGATATTCTAAACTCGATTGATCCTCCTACTCCCACTTTAAAATTTTCAAAAGTGTCACAAGAACTTAAGATTGCAATCTAACTATATTTCTTTAAATTAGATAACTACTTATTTTTAACTTTAAAATATCTTTAAATTCAGAAATTTTTGAATGTTATTTTCCGTATTTGAAGAAATTAGAGAGCCTTTGATTTGGTTGATGAACTTGAATCATCTCTGGAGCATACAAACTTCAAAAAAAAAATGTGCATTTGGCATCGTTGATCCAAAAATATAAGTGGCATAAAAATATATTAAGCAATGCAAAAGTTAAAAATAATTGTTATTTTTTTTATTTAGAATTCTTTTAAAATTAATTGTAATTTTTAATTCTTTTTAATAAACATTTTTTTATTCTAAACTTGATTGATCCTCCTACCCCAGTTTTAAATTTTTCAGAAGTGTCACAAGAACTGAATATTCTAATTCAACCATATTCTTTAAATTAGATGGCTACTTGTTTCCAACTTTGAAATTTCTTTTAGATTTAGAAATTTTTGAATGTTATATTCTGTAACTGAAGAAATTAGAGAGCTTTTGATTTGATTGATGAACTAGAGTTGTCTATGTGGAGTATATAAAACTTCAAAAAAGAAGAAGAAGAAGAAGTGCATTTATGTATATGCAGGAGGAAATTTGATAGTCCTTTTTTGCATGGCTGATCCAGAAATATAAGAAGGGGAATAAAAATAAATTACTTAATGCGTTAAAAATAATTGTCATTTTTTTATTTAGAATTTTTATTTTAATTAATTGT